AGGTCCGTATATAAAAATAGTAAATTACTACCTCTACTATATAGTGCTGTCTACAAATACAAATGTCAATATTTTTTTGAATAGTACCCTTATAAGTCATATTACTAAATATAGCATTTTCCATATATAGTACTCCTTTTCTCACAAAATATCCCAGGTACTATTCAAGATAATCTAAGGGATTTTTGAATAAGACCGGGTATTATAGGCAGCATTATACGACATATCCTCAGTCTTAATAGAGACAGATTGTATTGCATTTTTATTTGTTATTTACATTTGCAATAATTTATTTTTTAAAACCAGAAATTGATCAGGATACTTGGATTGTGTCTTGGTTCTATACAAATAGTAATACGCAGTACAATGCTGCTAAAATAGATGTTAATAAAAATTCACCTTCATGCTAGTCACACAAAACTACTTGCATATTAGGAAAATGTTTTCTAGCTGCCGCTAGATAAGGATCCTATTTGTTCATGGCTAATCACTTAGGATTCAATCAGATATTATTCTTGATACTATATTGAATAAACTTCAAACAACTAAAGTTATAGAATTGTCTAGCTAAATTTATTAAAAAACACTGGATACTTACTGACTCAAACATAAGATCGACAACCAGTATTGTTTCCTTATCACTTATAAATGTTGCTATGACTCGACCACAAGGTTCATCTGATCTAACCATGAAAGCTGTATTTGGGAAGTTTAAGCTGTTATGATGGCCAGTAGAATCTAAAGCCAACAAGTCTAGATATTTAGTTAAAAGAATTGGCATAACTGTGGAGGTGATACCAAGAAGCACAGCCTGTTTTTTGGGATTTTGAGTATTCTTGACACCATATTGTTTTGATATAATGGTGCCTTCAGCCTCATAATCATCTATTATAGAGCAAATCTATTAACAATACAAATAAATAAAAAAAATAAAAAAAATGTGAGAAAAAAAAAAACCTCATCTTCATACTTTTTCAAATTCTGATATGCATGGATGATACAACTTTTTATTGTATTTAAGGGCATTTTGAATTGGTTTGAGGTTGGGTGCAAATCAGGTGGATGTTGGCTGAACTTGGTTTGCTAGTGTATCAAGGGTTTTACTAAGAGTCTTTAAATTATTTATAAGTTCTAAAAAATATTACTAAATTAAAATCTGAACTTCTAAAGTTAGTTTTTTTTTTTTTTTTTTTTTATTCACCTGTCACCAACATTGAAGAGATTACACTTGTCATTTTATTTGTGATCGTTTTTCTTATTGAACTTGATATTCGAAGTAGTTTTTTCTAAACGTGATCAGGGTCATGATTCCCATAACATTCGATATTACATAGGTTAAGTGGTTTGTTTTGAAGAACTGAAATATGGCCTTTCTATTTACACTTTTCTTTGTAGCAACCATTTTTTAAGAAATGTGGTTAGTATTTCATAAATTCTCTAAAGATGGATGAATATATGAGCTACTATCAATAGAAATAAGCAGAATTAGCTTTTAAAAAAAAAGTTAATACCTTAACTTTTATAGATAAATTTTAA